AAAATATCTTGTATCTTCTAAAGGATGTTAAAATACAAACCAAAATGTCATTTATACATTAGATACCTGCATTTTAGGCGAATATTAGGTATTTCAGCGTTCGTCCTTATCGTACAGTTTTTTTTATTGTTACCTTCACTTGTTTCTTTTCCCGCTCTTTTAAGCCTCTCTCCATTTGTCAATAAGTGCTATTGTGCAGGAATCAAATGAAATGAGTGAAATTGCATAGCCAACTTTATAACAGAAACCGGAATATCTTCTTCCGCCTTGTAAAAAGGAATTCAACGACAAGTAGGCTGCATGAAAAAAGTCAATACGCATCTAAAACAAGTTCTAAACGTGTAAAAACACTGCGATATTGTATGTCCGAAGCCAAGCCGCGTAAGGTACTTCATAATGGACTAATGTGTTTTCTGGTAGATCTCATTATCTATGCTTATATACAATCATAAAGAAGAACGTGCACGTACTTTCAGACATACAAAAGTGGAGAAAGATACTTTAACTAAGAATAAGTATAAAATGGTTTATTTTAGTGATAAAAACGCGAATAAGAGACGAAGATAATGTAAAATGAAACTGGAGACTAATAAAAAGCTAAGCAAATGATCACTTACATAAGTGCACTTATTATCGTATGATTAATATAACCCCCACTCGATACCAATACAGTACAATGCCTTTTTAACGTAGGTGTCCCACGCATACATGGGACCAGAGTCCAAAAATAGGTTATTTTCCGAATTCAAGACAGCAAAAGACAAATTGGTAGTAAAAGAAAAATGACTGTAGTTATTTATTTAGCTTAGCTGAGTTTTGAGAGTTACAAGTGTTGGGCACCCAGTTAGTACAGAACTCTATGTTCAACGGATGTCCAACCAGTTCGTTAACCATTACCACATGCTGAAGCACCCAAAACTACCTACTAAACATAGTTTTGGCACAAAGCTCCAAGTTGAGAACACACATCAAGGATCGAACTCTCTAATCATTTGTAATGGTCAACGTAATTTTCTCATTACCCAACAGTAACATCTGTGAGGATGTATATATAATTCGGTATATGAATGAATTTATTTTCTTTTGTTCTTTTATTTTACAGAATAAAGTGTGGCGGCCAGTCTAATTAAACAAGATCTTAATATGTTGAGAAATTGAGACAAAATTCTAGATTTAAAAATTCATTGAACAAAAAATAGGCTGCTTGAAATACGCATGTCAAGACGATAACGTATAAAATAGTTTGAACATAATGATAAGTATAAACAGATCGCGAATACCCGATATAGTGTAATGACTTCTGTTTGATGGCTGTAGAAATAGACGATTAAAATATACTAATGTTTGATTAGTAACTGACAATGTTAACTCTTCCCAAAAGATGGATCAGTCAAGAGAAATGCGTACATCGTGACATTTAGATATACTATTTTTTTATTTTTGTTACGGGATTTCAACAATCTTTAAATTTCAGAATTATCGCATATTTTTCTTTATCTTTATGTTCTCACTGACAGGTATTTTGTGGGGAAATGTTACTCAAGGCGAAGTTATCAACGAGAATATCAATCGCTTGTTCCTTTTTGTTTTTTGTTTTTTTTGTTTTTTTGTTTAGATGGCTGGATAGAGAAATATGAACATATATTGAACTGATTATTTCTGTTGTCCCGTTCATACGGATAAATACATGTCAATTATGTTCATATAACATTATATGAATTCACATGTAGACAATGTAGACATAGAAATCAACACTATGATAACTTTTCAGTTCCACGCTTTAATGTGATTTTCATATTAAGTAAATAAATTAAAAATCACTCGTTAACAACAAAATTTGATCTCAAAAAGAAAATACTAGACCAAAAATATTAGTTATATATAAAACAATAAAAATATTAGTTATATATAAAACAATAAAAATATTAGTTATATATAAAACAAATCAAATCCTAAATCAACCTACGCAATCCCTTCAGAGCCGAAAGAAAGATATTACACAAAAAAAGTTTATGTCCTAAAACGTCATTCTTTTGGCAAATAAAAATTCCGAAAACTTCAAAAACTACTACTAAAATATCACTGCTAATAAAGCTGAAATAGGATCTCTGAAGTGTTTAAAAAATGATTATTACCCTGGCTATTTATATTGTGACGCTTAAAGCCAATCAACTTCAACCCTAAATCTCCACCCAATATACCAATTATTCAAATCTATCAATATTTTATATTTATTTAATACAGCGTGACTGCAAACGATAGATTTCTCAAACTTTTACTCTACCAAACTTAATGTAAAATTTTTGTTGTAAAATTTGCAAGAAATAAATTGTCTTTAATGTAGTTAGAAATAGTGAGTAATAAAGGTTTGAAAATATCAATGAAACCGGAGATATAGACTGTTAGAATTCTTATTCCCGAAACAATCGATCGACTGGGCGGATAAATCTTGAGTTTGTATCAAATTGTACATTTTGTATGAGATTGTGATAATATTCTTGACTGAAAGGTTGGTGGCTGATGGGAATTAAAATGGGCCCCAGCTATGTGAACATATTTATGGTTACCCTGGAACGAAATATGTTAAGCAGATATCACGTAGAACCTCTCTACTACCACAGATTCATAGACGATATCTTCTTTATACAGTCACATGGTTTGAACATTACGCATATAGTAATCCGACCTCGTCCCTTGACTTGTGACAGTTCAAATATAATATATTTACTTTTTTGCAACAAATGCCAAACAGGAAATTATATCAATGAAAAAGGTACGGAATTCCGTCTTGGGTTTAATAACCATAAGAAAACTATCAAAGACAAAATCAATTTCGCTGTAGCTGAACATTTCAACCAAACTTTGGGTGCGTCTTTTTATCGTCTTCATTTAAATGCGAACAAAAACGCCGAAAGTTCGAGTTAAAATAGATGTTTAAAATTAATTTACACGTTCTAGGTTTAAGTAGGAATTTAAGCATACTTAATAGTTTCCACAATAAGCCTTCTACAAGCTTAATAGTGGCAAACAACTTACACCAAACTACTCGATCTCATCAGTAATATTATGTGAGGGGTTGGCGGATCCCACTTCATTTTTTTTATCTCTTCTTAAGAAAGGACATATGCGTGTTAAAAATTCCAATTTTAACATCTTCTTCATCAGCCTTTTATTTGATCAAAAGGCTTACAATAAATATTTATTAGTCATGAATATTATTTTTTTTTTATCACTGAATTTTTCATCAACATGTAAGAAGCATACATGTCTTTACTATTTTATATATAATCAGAATAATAACAGATTACGCTACCTTGGTTTCAACCCTTCGGTATCCTCAGACGATATGGGCCAAATGATTTCCTAACGCTTTATTATTTAGATATAGACGTACAACGTGAAGTGGGGGAGAAAAACAAGAGTATTGAAATTGTATTGGAGGGGGAGTAAATAAATTGTACATACTTTCATCCTGGTCCGTACGAACTCAAAAAGTACTTTTTAGTGTGCATGCATCGTGTCATTATTTCCGATCTTTCAGTCAATTGATCTGGAAATGTTATTATTGTTAACTTTTTCTCCTGCAAGTATTGGGTGGGGTTTTTTTTGTTTTGTTTTTTTTTTTTTTTTTTTTAATATTTTCCAGTTTACAATCGGATCTTTGTCATTTTTTCTTTTAAGTCCCACACATGGCTGGCTAGTTTCTTCTTGAAGATGCCTTCAGTACAATCACGTATATTTTACTCTGGCCATTTTTGTATCTTTTACTTTGTAAATCACTCTTTCCATTTTGCAAACTCCATCTAGTGGACATTTACCTTTATCTCTACAGTTACATGTTTCACTGTTGACGATATCTTGCACGTTAACTTTGTTTGGCGTTTTGTTTTGTTTTTTTATTAGAGTTTCCAAATTACTAGTACATCTGTAGCTTAATTTAACTGTATTTTTATTCAAGATCTTGTGCAACCCGGAATTTTGGGGAAAGTTTTTATTAAGCAATTTGAAAAATATTTTCCCTATTTTCTATTTGACCTCTAAAATTAAAAGGTGGGTTTAAATCAAATAATATTTTTTCTTTTCCTCGGATTATTCTTTATTTGTTGCTTTATTTAAAGTTTAATTTCCATTTTACACACACACACACTCACACACACACACACATATATATATATATATATATATATATATATATATATATATATATATATATATATATATATATATAGGAAGTTTGAGAAATACAATAACGCCGGTTACAGCCTACGTAGACGCTCCGTTTTAAATTAAAATTTAGACGTCCGATATTTCTGTGTTTAATTTATCTTATCCCGTTCCTTATAGCTTTTAATTATCCCTCATTGTACCTGCAGTAATTTTGTGAGAAAAGGAGATGTTGTATGAGCAGGACATAAATTTACTGTAGAGGATTTCGAATCTATACTAAGTTCCCATTCAGAACCTGTTCTTCGAATGTAGGAATCTACCATTACTGCTAACAATGTAGCAACATTGAGTCATGTCCATCATACGCAGCTTTTGTTCGAAATGACCAGCTTCTTGAAGTCTTGCAATCCGATTCTTCTCAAACAGTTCGACAATTGAACAAATTTTATCAGAATATCTACTCTTTACTATCAGACACATACCGAAAATAAAAGTTGCATTGTTCTTCAAAGTACTGCAATTTTCCATCAGGAAAATATTTCGAATCGATTCACTTCCCCAAATCCGTATTCTGATGTTTGCTCATTGAAATATTGATTTTGATCGGCCTAAAATATCATAACCGTCTGAAAGGATACAGGAATGTTTTGGAGTCCAACAGATAAAAACTGTTTTGACACATTAAAAGAGTTGTCGCGTTGTTATTGTTATTTCTTCTCCTCATTAAGTAAGGAATAAAGTTATTTAAATACATTTTTAGTGTATTTAAAGAATTAGTCTTAAGAATATTGCATACCTATGAACAACTGATGAGGTTACTGTCGCATTTAAAGATTCTTACACCAATCAACAATCTGGAACTGGCTTCCCTCATTATAAAGTTGTAAATTTTAGTGCGCCGATAGAAAACATCTATCTATCTATCTCTCTCGAGGTGGTGCAATGGTTAGGAAGCTTGTCTCGCTAGAATAATTACGACTGAGTAGTAAGTTCAATCTTCACTGGGCGCCCCATACTTTCGGCCTTGTGCTATATCTAAAGCTACGTTTGGAAAGACACTATTTGTCTGTCTATTTACCGTGGGTAAATAAACGCCATACATTGTGCGACTTTTGGTTAATCGCAATTTAAACCGATTCAATACATTAACTAGAATTGGGTTAGTAAATCTCATAACAAATGCACTATTGTTATCCAAGAATTTATGTAATAGAATAGGGCGAAAATTTGACACCCCATCCACTAAGTCTTTTTTTTTATATAATTTCTGAAGTTTACTTCTGTCCATTTTTTCCTTTCTTCTCGCCACTTTTTCTTCGTTCTTTCTATTTTCTAAATTGTTATTGTTTTTTAAGCAATCTTTCTCGCGTTTAAACTTTTTCTTTCCAATTCTTTTCTTTCCTTCTCTTTTTCTTTTCTTTCATTTTCTTTTTCTTTTCTCCTTTTTTCTTTTCTTTTTTTTTCTTTTCTTTCTTTCCCTTTTTTCTTTCCTTCTCACTGCCTAGCAATAAAATTCAGCTTTTGTTTGTTGTCGCTATTTTTAACATATCTATCTCTCTCTTACTCAAATGTTTGTTTTTTCTTGTTCTTCATCCTCTCCTCCTCATTTCTCTATCAGATGTTTCTTCTCCTGATTCCATTCATTTGCCTGACGAATCAAAAAGGTATTTGAGGATAAACGCTTGACAACCAAAACGAGGCTAAATGTAAAATTAGGAATTAAAAAAAAAAGAATCAAAACGAAACGAATACATCATTTATTTCTTTTGCTTTCGATTTGCTTTTTCCTTTTCCTCATTTGGTTTTCGTTATTATTAGTCATCAAAATAGATTAGACAGAGCATCGAAACCAATCACATTCTTATTCCTTCTGCGCTTTTTAATCAGAGCTCTCTATTTCACGTACTAACCTTCACCATATATACATATATTTACATATGTATATAAACATACGCACATAGACGGTTCACCCCTTGTTGACGGTTTTCTTTCTCGATAGAGTTAAGCTTATCTAGATCTGCTCCTATGAGTATGAAACTTGATCGTCCTAATAGCAAGCGTGCTAACCACTACTTTACGGCAAAATCTTCTTCCTTTTCTTTCTATACAATTTCCCTTGATCCTTTATACTTTATCTGCATGTCCTTCTCTTCGTTTTTCTATTCCTCGTTTCCTCGAAAGTTGAACGTTTCTTTTTCTTTCCCAGTAACATTCAATCTTTTTTTGCCTTTTCTCACATTCTCTAAAAACCTTCCTTTACCTCTTATTAAATACCTGTCCATTCTTATATAACGTCGTACCTTTTTTTTTCTGATGTTCTTTCTCCTTTTATATTATCCCCTCCGACTCTCCCTCTCATTCTTTCAGTTCCATCAAGTATCACTCTGTTTCCAATTGCAATATATTGTTGTCCTTTATCTTTTGCACACCAACCTGGCGGTTTTTAATACTACGTAATAAATGAGAAGATTTCACTTTGATTTGCGAAGATTATTGAACAATTACTTAAAGAAAATAATGTTGGAAAAGAATGTAAAAGAAAAGTTTAGAGAGTGAAGGTCGAACAAAGACACAAAGAAAGAAAGGGGAGATAATGAAGCAGAAAAAATGGAGTGAGACAGTGAAGAAATTGGCATTCAATAGAAAGAATGGTTCACTAAGGAGAAAAGTAGATAGGCAGTGAAGATAGATGTTAAAACAAAGAACGAAGAAATATGGAAAGGCAATAAAAGAAACAAAGATGATAGTATATGAAGGAGAAGCATTGAAGAGATAGGAGAAAGGAAGATAAATGGGTGAAGAGAGAGGGTTAGGCAATGGAGAAAGAAGCTGAGGCAACCAGTAAACGAGAAAAGAGACTAAGAGAAGAATAAGAAATAAGAGTAACAATGAAGAGAGGGTATAAAGCAACCTGGAGAGAGGGTTATAAAGAGGGAAGAAGGGAGATTTGTGAATAAATAGAATAGACGACGTAATGCAGAGAAAGGGTGAGACGATGGGAAAAAAACAGACGAAAACGAGAAAAACAATATATATCCTCTCTCCACCGGCTAACATTTGTTTTTCTTGGGGGTGGGGGGGATTAGATGGTGAAATGATAACTACAATTCTTTGCCGATAATTTCCTCTGAACTCACGACAACGCATAATCAACTCTGGAAACTTCTAGAAAGGAAAAAATCAGCAAAATACCAAAAATGGTAGAAAGACAGCCGTCTCTACTAACATGAGATTCCTTTCTGAAAGAGACATCACATCCTGATTTTAACTTAGTGCCCGAACCACAGATCGCATTTAGCTGCACTACATTTAATACATTTTTTGGATAGATTTTTTTTTCTAATGTGCCGAAAGTTTTTTTCGAAATAATGTGGACTTGTGTTCAAAACCAGGGATCGAGTACGCTCGATTGATTTTGAATAGAAGAAATCAAAATACGAAAGTCTGTGAAGCGTGAAGACGCCTATTTGGAGAGAGTTTTTTCCGTCTTCAGGGAAGAAGTAAAAACTATCTGAATCGTAGACACGGATATCACACACAATTTTAAAATAAATGTTTAAAAGCAAATTATTTTTAAACATATTTTAAATTAACTTCACACATCTACATCCGTTGCTCAATATTTAAAAAATATAGAAGTATTTGAATGTTCATAAAAATATTTAAGAGCAACGTCACATTTAAATGGATTTGTATTCATTAACCTTTGTTATATACACGACTCTCCTGTCGTTTCGACGTATGAGAGTCAAGCAGATTAGTTCTTAGGAAACGACAGCCCGACACCAGCACATGAGATTCGATTATAGTGGTGAAGATTTTGTGTAGAACCATCCACACTTTTTGAAGGGCCGAATACAGAGAGCTGGTGTACTACGTGACACAAGGTCCCTAAACGAATCTCCGCAGGTTTAGAATTCAGAGTTGGCAATTGATCTAGGAGAAGGACTCTCCTAGACCAATTGCCAACCAAGGCTATAGAACCCAGTTGGTCCTGCTATTTACCCATAACTGGAGGGAGAAGGAGAGGAGTCATACCTTTCCCAGGGGTATTAGTACGTAAGTGAATGTAATGGATTCGACTGGAATTCGAACTTGGCTCTCAGATTCCTCAATCCAAGCCGCTAACATTACCCTACCGTGCCTCCATGTATGTATGTGTGTGTGTGTGTGCATGTGTTCAATGCACACACATTGTTTCTCCCAGAAATATGGCAATTCCAATGGTTAAATCTAGCTCTAAGCTAGATAACTTTGTATCTGTGTCTACGACTCACAGTGACTTCTTAAATACGCATTAGTCTTTGTTAGGAGGTGAGTGGTCATAGCTTCCGTTTGTTGCGTAAAAGCAACAATCTTTTGCTTTTAATGGAAAACTATCCAGCAAGTGTGCGACAGGCTGCTCGGTAGAAGCTAACTTTTCTTAAAATAAAATTGAACACAACGAATCAAACTCTATTTAAAAACGGTTTAATCTTAAAAAGTATAACAACTAAATGTCATGTATATATGTACCAAAATACAACACACACACATGCGCACACACACACACACACACACACACACACACACACACACACACATATATATATATATATATATATATATATATATATATATATATATATATTAGTAGTAATAATCTTATAAGTATAAGAAATTATACTCGTTCGAAAACCTTCAGTGTTTTGATTTGCGAATAATCAAACCAATACCAAAGGGAAAAAAGGTATATAAAAAGAAAGAACCAAGAACATGTACGTTAGCCGAAAATAATCGTCCAGTATGCAAGTCCAAAGAAAAAAACCCGATAAGAGTAAACAAAATAACTAAATAAAGCGCTCAACGCAGTAAGTAGAGCAGACCTAGTTAAACCTAGAGAGCCATATATACAGGGTGTATCAAAAATATTTTTACAAAACTGGGGGCGGGTTCCTCACGCCAAAACAAGGACAAAACTCCACATAAACATATGTCCGCAAATCCTTCGTTTTTGAGTTATTAAGTTTAAAGAACGGTTACTGTTGCTAGCGCTGTGTTGTCATGTGGACTAGGTTTACATTTGTCAATCGTGTACATTTGTGGCTAGTCTGTATTTAATGTAATAATAGTAAGTTAATTGAGAAGTGTTCCGTTTAACAATGATATCCATCTACCTTGAAAGATGGATAGGTAGGAGTGAACCGGTTCCATGGCCTACATGTTCCAACGACCTCAATTCTTTGAATTTTTATCTGTTGGACCACCTATTGGTTTAGACAGCAGACGTTAATAATCCAGAGACGCTTCATCGACGTGCCATGGGGGTCTGTGAAACCATTCGACACAGTGTAGGTATATTTGAAAGGGTCCGCCAGTCAATGATCCGACGGGTACATAAGTGTGTAGAAGCAAACAGAGGACATTTTAAACATTTGTTATGAATTGCTGTGTTGAGATACAAAGATGTCCTTTTGAACGTTTGTTTAAATGGGCCTTTACCATGTTTTGGTGTGAGGAACGCGCCCCCAAGAGCAAAAACATCGGCTTTCCGAGATGAAACTATAAGTTCCTGGTGCTGTCCATACTGTTCTATGGATGTAAAAGCTGGACTCTTATGGCGGAAAGCACCAAGAGAGTCCAAACATCTTAAACAAAATGCTTCAGACGCATTCTTGGAATCTCCCGGAAAGAACACAAGACAAATAACTTTGTACTGGACCAAGTAACACAACTGGCAGGCCCCCAAGAGTCCCTCCTGGCAACAGTAAATAGTAGAAACTGTTGTGGTTTGTATATGTCATACGCCACAATACTATACCCAAGATTGAAGTTATATATATATATATATATATATATATATATATATATATATATATATATATATATATATATATATATATATATATATATATATACATATATATATATTATATATTATATCTATTATATTATTTATATATATATTATATTATTTATATATATATTATATATATTATATTGCATATTATATATATTATATTGCATATATATTATATATATATTATATTAAATATATATTTTATTGTATTATATATATATTATATTACATATATATATATTATATCACACACACACAAATACACACACACACACACACACACACACAGACACACACACACACACACATATATATATATATATATATATATATATATATATGCGCACACGGATTGGCATATTTACTTTGCGAACGACAGCATCAAATCGATTGATCATTGCACCGTTGCGATGGCAACTAAATATCTTGTACATCTGTTCAAGATCACTTGAATTATTTTAGAAACAAAAACATAAGCATTGACACCATAAGAATCATCGGGATCACAATTTTGTAAATGCCGACATTAAAAAGTGAGATTATTTCTAGATATTACGCAGTTTTATGATGTCGAAATACGTTGTTTTTGAGGAAGTTCAAGTGAATATGAGAAAGCATAGATAGATTAGGAAAATTTTCCCAAAATTTTGTTTCAACAAGCAAGGTGAAAGCAGATAAATTATAAATTAATATGCAGCTGTAGATGAAAGGCAAAAAAAAATGTCACTTTTGAAAAGGTTTCTTTGTTTTTGTTTCTAAAATTCAAGTGATTTTGGACAGATGAACAAGATATTTGGTTACCGTCGTAACGAATGATTTAAAATAAATTTTAAACTAAAATTAATCTAAAGTGATGACACAGTGGATAAAGGCGTTGGTTAGATTCAGTGACAAGACCCAAACAGTGTGAGTTCAATACCCGGTTAAGGCAGTGGAGAACTTTCAGAGGGAAATTAACAGGAGATAACTGATAACTGACATCCATCAAACATGACACGTGCAACTAGAACAGTCTACCCCAGTGAGCGAAATAAAGGGTTCAGTTCGACATTCCAACCACCTGAAGAAGGCCGGAGCGTACAAGGGCCGAAACGTTGTGATAAATATGGCGACAAAGATGAGGACAATAGTCCGAATAATGTAAATAATAAAAGTAAATACATCTGTTTTCAAACAAGAATATCTATATTTTGATCTAAACAAGAATAGTTATGAAAATTTAGTGATCTTTGGAGTGTTTACTCTTTGGGGCATCTTTTGCGGAGTATCCGATCAAAATGCATTTTGGATATTCTCTTTATTTTATTATCAAAGTGTGTTTAAGTGAATGGTAGAAAAATTGTTGATCTTAGATATTCTAGTCTAAAAAAATAAATAAAAACCTGAGGATTCTGTTCATCTCCATTGCTCGCTATTTTCTCTGATGACTGGTTTTCTATATTGATAGTTTCATAGAGTATGAAGCGTAATAAAATGATTGTTTTTTTTGGGGGGGAGGAGGTTTTTCTCTCTCTCTCTTTCGGAGCATTGGTCATCTGCTGCTTCAGTACTCATGCATACATGGTTTATTTTAACATCTCATGTAGCCTCTTATTCGTTTTCATGAAACACGCACAGCGTTATCTAATGGTCATCACTAGGGGGTCAGTTCTGTTCGTCATTCAGTGCCTCATATTTGTGGCTTTTAGTGCCCAAACCAAGCTGCATAAATAATAGTTTTGGATGTCATGTACAAACCGATGGAATGGTCTGGATTTTGACGGAAAAAGAAAACAATTGTTGAATATATAAAATATACCTAACTAGACACCAACTTGATACATTCAACTACTTCGGCATCCACACCAGGGACCTTTTCTATATATTTCTGATATGAAATGCTATTTATACGTTGATTCATTCGGGCGAGTTTCTTCATTTTTGTTGTCTTTCTCACACTTCGGTCGCTTACTTCCGCAGTTTAACTTCAGAAAAATCAGAAGAAGTGAGACCTAATTTGTTGCGTAACTTAATTTCAAAATTTGAAGTTAGCAATAATAAAACTGATTTATCATCAACAGAAACAAATTAAAATATTATTTTAATAAATTACAACGAGCATTACATTTCTTTTAGATTTTTCGTCCTGAGAATAGGTAAAGGATTTTACAAGTAATAGAATATCGGCCATAATTTAAAGAAGTTACAGACTTGATCATATTGAAACATCAACCATATCAACTATTTTAACCATTTGAGTCTAAATGTGAATAGTGCTTAGTTGACCATAATTACTAAGCCTTCATTATTATTATTTGGAACATTAATATTATTAGTATTTATCTGTAATATTCTTTGTATCATCGGTAATATTAGAATTTTTCTTCATTACTATTAGGATTATAAAAAATTATATTGTTGTCATGGAAATCATTTTCTTTATTCTCATCATTTATTGCTGTTGTTTTGATTAAAATCCTGTTATTATCATTTCAGGTGTTGCCTTCTTACCAGCGAGTTTTTCCTATTTACTAGGAACAAATATATTTGGCCCACTCGCTCATAAGATGGGGAGGTAAGTTGAAGTTTAAACTATTCTTTTCTTTTAATATAAACCTTTTTCTCATCATTAACTCTTCTCCGTTTGCCTCACTCCCCCCCCCTCTTATCTTTTCCCCTCACATTCGTTTTAACTTTATTTTTCATTTTTACTCATTCTTTTCGTTCTTCACTCATTTATTATTACATTAGTGATGAATTAGCAATTGTGTGAAAGTGAATGCTATAACCATGGCTGGAATTTCAACTGTTTGCCAATTTCACCTTCCGTGTTACGTTATCCGAACATCTATTTTATAAAGACAATATCATTGTTTTTTTTAAAAAAAAAAAAAACGCTAAGAAACTGAGAAATATATAAGAGACTTGTAGAGACTTGTTGTCACTTAATCTCCGGTGTAAACTGCTACTTACGACTCGTATCAATGTTCAATGCCTCATATAATAATTACAAAAGGGGCGAAGAAAGAAAATAAAAATAAGAAAATTAAAACGAATATGAGGAAAAACGACAACCTAATATGCAAATTATAAATCGGAGATATCAAAATAAAAGAAGCACAACAATTTAAATATCTGGGGAGTGTTTTTTAACAGAAGACAAAAAGTGTGACACTGAAATTCGAAGTCGCATTGGGATAGTGAAAAATGCCTTCCAAATGCCAAGCAAAGTATTAAGAAACATGAAAATTTCGTTAGAAACAAAAGAGTTTTGAACTGTCATATAATATCGGTCCTTCTATATCGCAGTGAATGCTGGACAATGTTCTTACAGATGAAGAAGAGACTTAAAGTAACAGGAACGTGATATTAGAAAGATGCTGACAATGCCATGAACTTAAATATAACCAAGGACTAAGTTTTAGAGAAAATCGAAACAAAGGACACTCATACCTAATATCAGAAAGAGGCAGTTGAAATTTCTAGAGCACACGAGGAAAGAGGGTTTGGAAATTTTGACACTAACATGACGTAAGGAAATAGAAAAAGAGCGCATAACCAACCTAACGAGCTTGTGTAAATAATAGGCAGAACAGGGATGAGGAGAGAACAAAAAAAAAACAGTTTACTGGGAGCTACAAAGAAGAAGAAATTGTGACAATCATGTCGCCTACGTCTTGAAGGGACACAGTCATCATCATCATCATCATCATCATGCCCTTGACTTTTGTAATCGTAGCGGGATCCGAATCCAGAAGCCATATTGAATCTCTTCCACAGCGGTCCGTCAACAGCAGCCATCAACGATTCTGGTATAGTCATACTTTGTCCATTGTTCGACATTGTCGAACCAGTTTTTGTGTTAGTGTCCTCTCCGACGTCCACCTTCAACGGTGCCTTGCAGGAAAGTTTTGCACAGTCTGTCGTGCCTTGTAACGGGTTCAAATGACGCCATTTTCCTCCCTTTGACAGTGGCGAGAAGAGAAGTGATATGGTACATAGAAGAAAAGTTGAAATAAATAGGGTCACTTTGAAATATATTTTTGAAAACTTCCGTTACTGCAGTTAGTCTTACTAAAGAATATACATTTGCCTTCATTACGAAATTCCTCACATGTCTGGACATTCTATTCTCTTTGGCTGTGGAAACATCTACTTGAGATTCAGCGGTCTCACGTTGTCTACTAACCTGAGATAAAACAAATACATTGAGTCAATTGCTTCATCCACCACAAGGAAAGTTGGCTCCCTCTGCCGCGCCAGGAAATTTTTCTCCCCGGAATCGATCCTTCAAATCTACAAATCAACCATTCGCCTTTGCATGGAGTATTGCTGCCATATATGGTCTGGAGCCCCTTCTGTTTGCCTCGGGGTTCTTGACAAGATCCAGAGACGGATATGCAATGTAATTGGCCCTGATCTGGCATCTCGTCTGCAGTCGCTCTCTCACAGACGTGCCGTCGCCTTTCTCTGTCTTTTTTACAAATAGTTTCATGGTAATTGCTCCGATGAGCTGCTTTCGCTTGTTCCAAGACTTCGCGAATTCAAGCGTCCTACGATGCTGGCTTCCCGCTCTCACCCTTTCACTGTTGAAACTGTTAAATGTAGCCGCCTCTTCTACTCCAATAGCTTCATATCTCGCACATTTCGCCTGTGGAACTCTCTTCCCTATTCCAGTTTCCCTGAGAGCTATAATCTCCAACTATTCAAATATAATGTCAATCGACATCTCCTGTTTCCTTGATCTATCCACTATCCTTCTCCTCATCCTCTCCTCTATCACTCCTATCTACTCTCGATCCAAATCCTCTGCAACCCCTTGCGTGCTAGTGGCTTCCCGCCTTGCTAGGGGTGAAATGCTTAAAAACACACACACACACAAAGATAGGCAATAGAAGGCTTACAATAGAAGGCTTAAATGTTATTGCTACTATCAATATTACTGTATGGAATGTTCCCATGTTTTACATATTAATTCTTATGCTATTTTCATGTTCTTTTGTTCCATCCTTTCTTAACGAATCCTTGTCGCTGATGTCTATCTGTTCTACACTTTCAATTCTTGTTTTTCTATCCTCCTCCTGATGTTCTTCCCCCAGACGCACACATACATCCCTATTTAAGCTCTGTATATTATAATCACTTAAAGCTAATATTTTGCATTTATTTATCATCTGGTTTACAGTCTCGTCACTTTTCCCTACAAAGACATTCGTGTTTTTTGTTTTGTTTTTGTTTTATTCATGTTTGCCTTAACATAATTATTTCTGACGCGTTTAGATTGCGTTTTACATTTTAAATGTCCTCTGTGTAACCCCCACCCCCTTCTTTGTCTTTGGTGCATGCGTGAAGCGCGCTAAGGCGATCATGTCTGTTTTCGATTCATTCTTGACTTAATAGAAGAATTGCTGTTACTTTCTGTGGTAGATTGGTTGCCAACGAAGACTATAGCTAGAGGAGAAGAGATCGATTCATACCTTTCCCAAAGTGTGTGCCTAAGTGAATGTAACGAACTCTACTAGAATTCGAACTCGATTCTCTAATTTCTCATTCTGAACTGTTATCCATCACACCACCCGCAAATCTAAACTTACAGCACCTGGTATTCCCAAGTGGTCAACCATCTACGTTGGTGATCTGTCTAAACGGGATATGACCGTAAGCCTCTGCGTAACTGTCTAATTTTGTTCAATCGGAATATTATTTGAATTCACTGTATATATTTCTTATTTCCTGTATTTAATTGAGTTGTTTCAAATTTGTATCGTGTTCCCTTTTTTAATCTATTGTATTTATTTCCTAAGACTTATAGCAACATGATTATTAATATTTACCTTCAAAGTTTTTGTTCCGCCTCATACGGGTAATGAACACTTATCTTTTTAGCATTATTATATGTCAGTTTACTTTAAAAAATTTTGTGTCGCCTTTGTCTTACCCATTAGAATGGCGTTATAAGCGGACTCGATGATAGAAATGGAATAGTGATACTGTCTTCTATAATTGTAGACTTTTGCATCAGTCATGCCGATTCGAAATTGAAGATTTAAATCCAATATAAGCTCAGCCTTGCAAAAGATTACAGCTGGTCATTGACTTTATTCCAATTATGGCGGGAAATGCTATGACGGGTAGGAAGGTGGAGCATTGTGAATCTGAATGTGGAAAGTTGATGTCCAATGCAAGGCGTCTTCTTTCTCCTCATTTCGGCCTTCGAGCGGATGTCGATGAGGAAACGAGGCTCTACAAACTCATGAATATTCAACAGCGTTCTTTTGACATTGGAAGAAACGACAGGTTGATAAAATATTTTCAAGAAAGAAAACAAGAAAAAAAAGCATGAAATGAAAAATGAAAGAAAGAATTTAAAGAATAAAGAAAATCAGTCGAATATTTCTTAAAAGATCCAACAAATAAAGAAGAAGGTAGCTAGAAAAAAATAAAAACAAATTAACTGTAGAAAGAAAGAATGAATAGAAAACTGAGCTTAAAGGAAAACAAGCTTTAGAACAAGAATGAAAAGAAAGAAAATTAGCGTGAAAGAATTGAAGATATGAAAGGACAGAATAACAGCGGAAAAAAGATTAAATGCAAGATTTTCATCGAATTTACATAGAAGATTCCTTTAAAGAATGATATAAAATGAAAATGAAGAAGGATGTGGATGAATAGCGTTTTTCCTATTAACTGACAAAAGAACGAAATTAATTAAAACTAATAAGATTCGACCTTAAGAAAAATTAACGAATGACTGGACTGAAAAGCTTAGAAAAATATGAAAATAAAAAAATTGAATAGAAGGATGAGAAAATAAACGGAAGGCTCTGAAGAAACAGAAGCGCAGCACCAAGAAGAAAAGCAGAAAATAACTTTGAAGATAGACGGGAATAGAAAGACTGAGACAATGAATAACTGATAGATAGAAAAGATGTCGGAGAGGCAATGAAATGAGTAAAAGGAAAAATGAAAGAAACAGACGAGAAAAGTAACTAAAAGAAAAAGAAATAGTTGCATATTCTCTGACTGACAATTTTAATAAAAGTAAGATCGAAAACTTCTCGCTGAAATTTACAGAGGATCAACGGTTTGGTCGAAGACAACCCAACTTCGTGTACATGAATATAGTTGTTAAAAGAGTAATATCATCAGAGCCAATGATCATGAGCCAATATATCACTTCTGCAAACACTTGATTTCACTAACGAAAATAAACCACCATAATCTTGAAGAAATCTAATGTATTTAAAATTTCCCATGCCTACAGAGATATAATGGGTTAAATAATATAATTTTTTCTTATCGTCAGACCAGGAGGAAAGAAACTCAGCCATTTGTATTAGCGGCGATTTTAGGAATATTAGAATGATTGCTAGCAAGTTGTCTAACGGTTATAAGCGCGGAAATGCAGTCAATAAGCTGAGCTTAAATTCTGATTAACAGTTTGTTCATTTCATATTAATATCCCCTGGGAAGGCATGAACCCAGGGCAGATTGAGTTTTGGTTAGTAACTAATCTAAATGGAGGACAAATCCAAATTCAAAGCTGGAGGATACACAGGATAAACACTTTGTCTT